CTGGTGGCTGCCTGATTCACAAATCATTTTTGTATTTTTTCTTGCTCACTTAAACTCTGTTAAATTTAATTTGTCTAAAGTTTTTCTTTTAACACAAGAGAAAAACAAGCAGAGGTTTACTAACATGATTATTTCATATATATCTGAGAGAAAACTGAGGGAAAGACTCTCAAAGAGGTAGCTTAGAATGATGTTTTATATGGTATCTTCAATAAAGAACAAAACATTTTTTGAGAATTGGCAACACAAAGTAGGACCTTGAGTCTCTAGGGGCAGAAAATTTTAAGGTGGCAAATATGAGGGAAACTGATGGTAGACAGAGGCTAGTCAGTAAATTTTTTTAATGTGGATTCCTTTGGTACCATCTCCAGGCTGCTAAGAGTCATCTCTTGTGATCAAACTTTGTTATTCCTGGTAGAAATGGGGAGGAGGGGACACCTTTGTTTACTTAATGCTGTGCTTTTAGGCAATTAGGAAGAGGGCAGATATTTTGTTTTTGTATCTGCTTCTTCTCAATTGCTTTCTACTCAAAATAATCCTTACATCAGAGTGGTATATTTTGGGGAGGAAGACTCTGCTGTTCTTCACCATGCTAGACACAGATCATTTTTGGAAAAGACCAAGAAGTGTATGTTCTGAATTCTAATAAAAATGGAAGAAAATATAAGGATGAAAATTCACCTAGAATTTATTTCACATTTATACTACTTTCTTATAGATATTATAAAAATGTAGTTGTTCCACTATTTCAAAATTATATTTGTTGCTGTTGTTAAAAGGGAGTGATATTGGCAGTAATCATGTCAGTGTTATTTTACATTAAATATGAGTACTCTCAGACTCGTTAGTAGCAAAGTCAAGCTGATACTCCAGGAACAGATGATGTACGTTACTTCCGGAAATGCAGACTAAAGCTAGCTGGAGAAGTTGGTCTTCTGTCTTTCTGGAATACCCATTCCTCCAGCCCCACCATACTGTTCTCCCTATCTGTGTGGCTTGGAATATTGCTCAAAGTTTAACTTTTATTACAGATACCTCCTCCTCCATGATATCTTTTCTGGTCTTCCCCAACTGCCTGTTAGTTCTCTGTCTCTAGATTCATAGCACTAGGGAGTTATGTATTTGTTTTATGGCATTTACATTCTGCTTTGGTTACAGTATTTGTCTTCTTGTCAAGACCCCTCTTGCAACCTACATCACTCCCTGAAATTCTTATTGGTCCTATTGAACTTAGCCAACATGCAGTTGGTGTCTAATATTTGTGGTATTGAATTGAATAGTGGGAAAAAAACCCAAACCCAACTGGTTTCTTTAAATACTCTCATATAGAGGACAATTGGTAAAAACAAAATGGGTATCTGAGGACAGTCCCCTGAGTGTTTTATGTTGTGTTGGTGTTAACATTAATGGTCTCTCCAGGACACCACTTTGTACCCAAGGAAGAATTTAAAGTATGTCATTTCATCACTGGGTTTTTAAGAGGCAATGCTAATTTAACTAGCAAAATACTTTGCACTATTTTGATTGCATGAACTGCTTTTTTAGTGTGATATTTTGGGGTGTATAAATTTTTGGCAACAGTCTGGACTGAACAAACAGAAACTAAGAACGCTATTAAATAAGACCACTTATGAGGCTCATTACCTTTTGACTTTGAGCAACTGTGTAATTACCTTAAGTTCAAAGCTAATTATGGAATTCCATGTAATAATGCTTTACATTTGTCTAGTGCTCAGAGGTTTCCAAGTGCTTTCATCTGCATTACTCATTCAACCAATCAAGGAGTCAATTAGCAAATTAATTCTTTGACAGAAATTCCTTTAAAACCATTACATAACAAACATCGACAAGCTTGATTTGGGGATTCCTAAAATAAATAAGGGAAAAATCTTGTTCTCCAAAGGCTTCAGTTGAGTAAGGGGAGATAGAAATGTAAACAAGTAAGCGAACTAAAATATTGCGATTGAAGTTTGTACACACTACAGTGGGGGCTGTTCTTATTAGAAATGCATAGAGTGAAATCTTATTTGATTCTTACTGGTGTTACTGTTGTCTGCAGTTGGCAGTTGAGGGATCCGACTCAGAGAAGTAAAGCAGTCTTTTCTGAGGCGACCCTGCTCTTAAGATTGCTGAAGTGAATGGTCCCACTAGAGCATCTCTCCTCTACCCATGGAGTTGCTGTGATGTAAATTCTCATGTTCTAGCTGATATGAGAAAGAGTAGAAGGTAATACCAGTGAGCCTGAAACAGGGGATTATGTTTATTCAGAAAGAGCCTGGTTCCCAGAGTAACAAGAAAAACAACTTGGTTGAAAATGTTACTCATCCGTAAAAGAAGAGAGACAGGCAGACTGAAAGGCAGGGTTTTGAGCTGGAAACTGGCTTTGCTAAGATTTACAGGCCTGTGGGATTTTGCAGTTGTATAAAGTATTAAGGAAAGTTATTTGAAGAATATTCAAATTACTCTGACATCATTTCTCCCTAGGTAATATGGAAGCTCACATTTTGGAGACTGGGCTTCTATTAACATGAACTTTTGAAAGGAAAGTGTTTACAAGGATGACCCACTTCTCCTGCTGTCACCACCCCCAGACTCCAATTTAATTTTGTTTTTATTCTGCCCACTAAAACCCACTAGTTTTCTCATGGGAAAGATGCTTCTCTTTAGTCATACTTTTATTCCACAATGCCACATTTCACTAAGTTTGTGGCATATGGATTTGCAAAGTGCCTTGAGAAGGCATCCATGTGTGTTTCGGATAACAATGGCAAAAGCATCTTAGCACTGGTACATATATTCTTTGTTCAAAAGAAAACTAATATGGGATGTTAGAATGCAGCATTGCTTAAAGATTTCTAATATGAGCTAAAACTGCCAGAAACTGTGATGGGAGGGGATTGGTCTTTATTTTGTTTCCCTCTGAATTTCATGTAACTACATGAGAATTATAAGCTGGAGTGCTAAATTTTGTAAATTACTAAATTTTAACACCAACAGTTAGGAAGTGCAGGTATCTTAACTCGCCTGGAAACAAGTTTCTATTTCTCCAATGGACTAAGCAGCTCCTTATTTTTCATGATCCCTTATAGGTTAAAAAGGCTTTCAGATGATCTTCTCTGACTCTCAAAATCTCCTAGGGGAAGCATAGGAGGTATTATCCACACACACAAAAAATGTGTTTATACTCATGAAGAAACTGAGGCCCAGACTGAGGCTCTAGATAATAATAATAATGAGTATTTTTGTTATCGTCTGAATAAGTGCTGCTTAATTCTCCATATTATATAGCTTTTTTTATAGAAAAATGCTCTCATGGTCATAGATGGTCTCTAACCCTGACCTACTCTTTTTCAAACACATGTGATTAGTTTAAAGGAAACCTGAATGAGAAAATGGATAATTCAGTACCAGCCATACTTACAAGAAAAGTAACAGAAATCATATACCCTAGTGGTACAATAGTTTAAATTACTTTAATATATAAAGAGCAGCACATAATTAAGTTTTAAGCATCAAAAATCACATTTTTTTTTTTTTTGACAGGGAACACCTACATCAGAAGAGTTAGTTTGGCTGGGCACAGCCCAGCAGGGATCCTCATTATAACACTGTATGCAGTTTAAATTGTAGGGAAAGGAAAGGACGTGATATTACTAATATAAGCTCATTTTCTCAGGATACATGAACTTGGAGTTTTAAAAGGGGTCATATAAATGGTAATAACCCATATTTTTTGGCTTTTGATCCTTCTGGCTATTATAAACCTCCATGTCCTTTCTACCTACCCCCAGTGGAGTCCCCAGCGGTGGTCCATCTGTGCTGGCTAGTTCTATCAACCACCTGTGAATTTCTGATGTGATTTCCTCCTGTTCTGCTTTTCTGCCCTCATGTTGATAGGCTGGCTGCCTTTGGAAGGGTGATAGCCTTTACTCTCAGTCAGTAGCCTCTCCTGGTACCATTTTTGCCTATGCCTCTGGTTTCTTTCTTGGAGTTCTTGATGTCAGCTGGGTGGAAGTGGGATAATGCCTTCTTCTCCCTTTGGGGATACATGTGGATCTCAAAGCAAAGTTTTTAGTACATGTATTTTTTATTTTTAGATGCACAGCCTTCTCTCTTTTTAGTGCTGAGATCTGAGGCCATGAGGGCAGGTATGTTTATGGACAAAGCTGGAAAAAAGCTTAAAGGCTGTATTAAGACCATCACCTGGTCCTCCATTTGGCTCTTCATGAAAACAGACTTTACCCTTGTTCCATTGGTTTGCCAGAGGGGCTCAGGATCCCAGCACTAAATAGAACCTAGACTCAACCTTGGGCAAGCAAAAATGTCAATATTTTGTGCTCAACCCAGGGCTGATCATTTTTCCCTTTCTCTTATCTGTTCTCTTCCTTGTATTCTTGACTTCCGATTCTTTGGTAAATTGAATTTCTTTTATCCTTGGTTCATGAAGTGAAAGCTGCTTTGAGAGGCAAAACTCCTTAGGTCAGATCTCTCTCACTGACAGAAAGGAAGGAATGAAGGAAAACCCACTGAAGCAGTTATGTATTTCCAATTAGAAGGACATTTTACTTCCTTCTGGTGGTGAGTGACATCAAATCAGCTAAAAAAGGATCTCATTACCTAGCGATAAGAAATAAGAACTCTGAAACTCAATGATGTTTTACATATACAACAAAACAAATCTAAACTTGGATTAAAAAGCAGTGTTTAAAATTAACCCAGGGAGGCAGAGCTTGCTGAATTTGCATTTGTGGGTGGTGAGTATCTAGAGGCCCTGTTCTTGTTTTACTGTCTGGAGAGAGGTGAATGTCCCCTTTCTGAGTTGGAACTCCTAAGAATGTTGCTGGGGAGCCACCATCTCCCTCTGCATTCCTACCGTCTCTTCAAACTACCTCAAGCTTATGAAAATCACAGACGATCAGGTGCTGTCTGACAGTTTGCAAATTATTTGTCAGAGGTGTTTCTCAACCAAGTAATACTTTTTAATTTTTATTTTGTTTTTACGTCAGACAGGTAATGTGCCAATGTTATAACAGGGTTCAAGGGTGGCACATCTCTCACATCTGCTTGAACATCCAGTCATCTTGCTTATGAGCTACTACATATTGCTCAACCAAGTAACGCTTTTAGAAGGCAGAATAATGCAGTAGTCTGGGTGCAGGAGACCTGGAATTTCTCTTTTTTATTAACTGTACCTCCTTTTCAGGGTAACTCCTTCTCTACCTCCCTTGGTCTGTTCTTTTGTAAATAAGCTTCATCTACATGATCCCTCCTTCTCCAAATGCAGAGTCTATAATTGTGGAATAGGCCTTCCTACCCAGTGAGTTTCTTCAGACCCCAATGGAAAGTTTGTAGTTGTGAGGGGAGATGTTTTCTCTCACATTTATAGAGCTCCTCCTAGGTAGCAGGTATTGTGCAAGGCACCCTTTATATGTGTCACTTAATACTTCGGATGGCGATGATGATGATGACAAACACACTGCACATATTCTGTGCTAGACACTGTTCTAATCCGTTTACATATATTCACTCATCTGAATCCTCATCACAGACTCTGTGAAGTTGGTACTACTTTAATCTTCATTTTGCAAATGGTCATCTCAGCCTTGAAGAAGTAAACAGATAAACAAAAGAGAGCCCAAGATTCTAGAGCTGGCCTCAGTATTCACAAACAACAGAACAGTTGTCCTGTGTTTATAGATGAGGAAATTGGCGTTCTAACTAACTACAGAAAACTGCCTGCGGTCACAGAGCAAGGAAGTAGCACACCTGGAAATCAAACTCATATCAAAATCATTTCAGATCCCAAGCTCTTTCCACTTTGCTGCTTTGCCTTCCCAGAGGCGTTTTGGTTTTCTTTTAAACCACAGAGTATGGCACTTTTAATGAAAGAAAAGTTTGCCAAATGAAAAGCAGATTAATGAGATATTTGGGAGGCTTTGCAGTAAATAAATCTCTTTCAGAATTCTCATCTTCTCCCACTCAAATTGCTAAAGCCGTAACAATGGCAATTACCTCAGCCTGTTTGAGACAGTGTGGGAGTGAACCTCTTAATTTTATTGCTCTGGGTGGACACTGGAGACCAATAACATTTTCGTTTAGTGTGCTGAGGCACAGGTCCGAAATGGGATATATCAGATGTTGGCTTTCTCCATTCAACCTCTTCTGGTTCCTCCTGCTTTAGCCATGTCTTGGAACACCATTAATTTAGGAGAGAAGTTGAGCTTAAAATTGGCTCAACATTAAAGATATAATAAGTGTCAATGCCAACCTGTTTGTCAAATAGATTAGACCTAGAGCATCACTTCAACATGACTGCCTGGGACTTGAGGAGGGCAGTTTTTTCTTTGATAACAGTTGATCTTAGATAATCCCTGAAAATCTTCAAACATCCCTTGTGAAAGTGAAAGACCAGTACAGAAATGTGATTATTTCTAGGTGATATACAACTGAACTTGAAGCCAGATGCTCACATTTATATTCAAGAAGAATGTGGGTGTCTACTTATGCTAGGTGTCGGGAATATGAGAGAGATGAAGAAAAGCAAGTCTCAGTCCCTTCTCTATGAGTGAGTAATCTGTTTAAGGGAAATGAGATGTAAGCTGTAATAATCTGTGCTGTGAGGAAAGCCTGCCATTTACTGCCTATTAAGCATTGTGTCAAGAACTTTGTACAGGAACATGGCAAGGTAAAGGGTATTATCCCCATTTCCTCGGAGGATGGAGACTGAGGCTCAGAATGTGTTGTCCTGGGCTGATGGCTTATTAGTGCAGCTGAAATTCAAACCCAGGTGGTTCTAATGCCAGAATTGTCCTCTTTCTCCTACATTGTACTGTTAACCAAGCAGAATATCATTTGGCAATTAATGGTTTAACTTATTAGACATGCCTTCATGGGAGTTAAAGGTTTATGTAGGTAACGCACCAAGTTGCATGACATTTTGAGACAATTATTTTTGACCTGAGAAGATTTGAGAAAATCTTAAGCAAATCAAATAATATAGAAATTAAAGCAAATATGTAATACAGATTTAACAAATGTTAGGTGTTGTTATTGTTGATGTTGCATTAAGATTAGGCTGGCATAAAACATTAGAATCTGTTCAGTGCATAGAGCAATTACATTAAACACAAGGGTATGCTCTATCACCTACTTCAACAGTAGGGTAAAGAAATAATCGTGAACAACCACATGGTAAGAGTTTTTCTACAGCACTTATTGCAGATATTCATCTTTGTGGCTCCAGTAATTTTGAGAGCTGTACATAGTGGGTCCTCAATAAATGTTGAATAAATGAATGTTTTATTTTGCTGATTTTTAAATAAAGATCCTTCTACTTACAAAAAATAAAACGAAAGTACACAACAAAACCTTTCACCCATTTTTTGTGCCTTGATGTTTCTGGGGTGAGGCTTATGGATGGTCTTCAGGTGGGGGATTGAAGAGGCCTAGTTATCATTTGGCTAGATTACTTGGAAATACATGATGGTTTTGAATTTTGACTTGGCTACTTCAAATTACATGGATCAGGTCAGCAAGAGTTAATGTTGTGATGTGGATACTGAATAACTAGTCTTAGAAGAAGTATTTATGATGGAGAGAGTAAGAACACAACTCTATTTTGTTTTGGTCAGGGCTTAGTTGGAATATTGTGTACAGTTGTGGGAAATGTACATTAAGACAAATATAGAACAAATAGGACACATTTAGGGGAAACTTGGATGGCAACAGGGAAATAAAATCTGAATGTTTGGGGGACAGGCTGTGTAGCTTATGAAAAGACTTAAAGGGCTGAGATAATAGTCTTGAGATAATTGGAGGGCAGTCTTACGGAAGAGGAAGGTAGACTTGTTCCCTGTGGCCCCAAAGGAAGCAACGAGAAACAACAGACTCTGGGAAGCAGATTTAGCCTTACAAGAAGGAGTTTTCTATTATGCTTTCCCAGAGAGAGAGTTTTCTTTAGAAAGTGGTGAATTACTAGCCCCTGAAAGTGTGTGAATATTTGCCAAGTAACTACTTGGTGGAGCCATTGTAGAGGAAATTCAAGGGTAGCGTGGACACTGGATTTCATAGGCATCAGAGTGTTCCCAATTGTGAGCATCTCAGCAGCTGCTGGATTATCTTTCCAGGCTTGGCCTCCACCTCGAAGAGGTGGGATTGGTCACCAGGGTTGGGATATACTTTTGGGGGAAGAATGATGGATGGTAGGAGATGGAAAGAATCCACAGTGGTAGAGCAGTTGCTTTGTCCATTCTAATTTTTGTCTGCCACTTTTTAAATTTGGATTTTTCTATACACTGCACACACTTGCTTTAGACTGTGAGAACCAGGAGGCTGGAGACTGTAATAATGTAATTTGTGATCTTAAACTTAGAACTTCAATATCTTGGGCAATCGGGTTCTTAGAAATGTTATTTGACAATAATGTTATCAGGTATTAAACATTGTCAGGCTCCAACGGTCTGACAGCCTAACTTTGTTACTCTAATAGTAGGTTTATAAAACTTGTGGCTATTTCCTTTCTCTGGAGGAAGACAGAACTTGAGTTGTTTCCAAAATTTCAATGAGATAGAGATTTTGGGACACCTGAAAGAGAACCAATAAAAAGGTTCCACACATCACAGTAGTCTTAAAAATTACCCACATGCTAGATGCACTGCCCCCAGCTCTGTGTCGGGTTGGAATCTTCAGCCGTCCAGATACTCTTGAGTTTCTCTGACCCCTTTCTACCCACTAAAGAACTGAATGTGAATGACAGAAGGTTTTTGCTTGTAGATTACAGCTAAACTCCTTTAGTAACAAACAGTAAGTATTCCAGCAAAAAGAGTAGGAGGTTGAATGTTTTATTGTTTTTCTCAGGGCAGATATTGTGAGCTCAGGCAGCATGTAATCTTCAGTGACCTCAGGTGTTACATCTAGAGCAAGTTTCTCTCTAACCCTTTATAGAACTATAAACAGCAGGAAGGCGTGATTTATAGATCAAGAGGCATCATAAGCATGGGATTTGCCAGCAATTCATAGTCCCCCTCTCATTGTGGATATACCGCTCATCTCTTGGAAGGACACTGAAACACTGGCCAGAGCCTGTTAATCCCTTTTACTTTCATGGATTGATGTCAAGGGTATCGGGTCCATAGAGATTTTCAAAATTCTTCAACATGGGTTCAGTGGAAGATGTGGCTCAGTTCAGAGTAATCCTTTGGGCCAGGAGTTTTCATAGGCACCAGCAATCATCTGATCCTGCTTTGTAAGGCTTGCTTCTCTTGCTTCCCACTTATATACAGCCACAAAGTCTCTGATAAGAAGGTTTCTTTTGCAATTGTGGGTTTTACCCGAATTTCTGGGCTCTTCTGTAATTAAATTTTGATTGCTATATAGTTATTTGAACTCCTGTGAATCTCCGTTCTACACAATAGTAATAATGTCTGTTAACATTATTAATTTGGCTATGGATATATATAGATATAGACATAGATAACAAGCCCATGAAAATATGTATGTGTGTGTGTGTGTGTGTGTGTGTACATCTATCTATCTATCTATCTATCTATCTATCTATCTATCTATCTATGTTTCTTATGCTCTTAATACATTGCTTCACATAGGCACACCATCTCAGGAAGATCTAGTCTGTTGCAAATGTATGCAGAAGTTGAATATTTATTTATTTTTTTCTCACCACCACGCTCATCTACCTGCTAAGACACTATTCCCTCTCTTCCCCATTTTCATATCTTTTATTCATTAAGAAATGGCCTAATTCCAGAGTTGTTTTCTTCTAATCATTGCTAAAACATTGGTTGGTAATGGATTACATCAAGGTACCACTTAATGGTTTAAATTAAGGTATCACTTTTCACAAAAAGGTACTTGTATTTCAATAAGAAACTTTGAAAGTTAAATATTCAAAGTGTTGAATCTTTATGGTTAAATTTTAGGCAGTGGAAAAAATGGTTTTTGGGAAAAATAAAGGGAGTTGAGTTTATTACACAAGACAAGTAGCATTCTTACTTTGCTTCAGATACGTGGGTATGGTGACAGGCCTGGCAAATTCCTCCTTTTCAGGTAAAGGCAGAGATTGCACTTCTGTGCTTGTGTGAATAAAAA